AAATAAATAAATAAATAAATAAATAAATAAATAAATAAATAAAAATCTGAATATTAAACTCTGTTAATTGCTGGTAATTCTGTCTAATTATGAAACTCACTGTTTCTTCACTCAATGTTTGGACTGACTGTTGGATGCTCAGGCAACTACCTGATAACATCTGTCCGTTTGGGCTGCCCACCACTTACACCTTCAGGCCCTTACAAAGTGACACATTTGCACAATGAAATACATCCAAAACTGAATTGTTCCTTCTGGGTGCTTAACTTGTTCTGTTATGTTCACAAGTTTAACCAACCATGGTTTATAATATATTTCAATCTTTGTAAAAAAAAACAAAACAAAAAAAAAAACAACAACTCTACTTTCTATAAATTCCATTGTTTTAATTATTAGGACAAAAAAATCCACAACTAATGTTGCATTGTGCCTGAAAAGTTATTTTTCTCTTCTGTTGGTGGCAGGAGTAAGGATGCGGATCAGGAGAGCGCTGTGGCTGGTTCTGGGCATGCTCAGTCTGTCTGTGCTGCTGGTGGTTCTGGGAGTCTACACCACGACCCGAACCCAGAGCCTGAGCGTGACTGGATTCGCCTCTGGAGTCATTGTAAACAGTTTATTCATATTCTGATAAATCCTGGGATTAAAGGTTACTGAAAAGGAAATGATGTTTTGTTTAGTTTCTTTCCATGGAACATATCAAAACATAATCAGCCTGTTGTTTTATATTTTAAATTAAACTCACTGGAAACACGTTTTGCTGCAGCATCCAAAAACTGTTCTTGTGTTAGGCAAACAGATGTTTTTGGATCATACTAAGGCAGTGACATCAACATTAAACACAGCTGATGGAACTGTTTTTTTATATGCACCCACCTAAAAGCTTCTAACAGCCCCTTTAGAGACTTTAAATCTTTTATCAGTCTGTCAACATCTTTAACATGAATTTGGACCACACAACCAATTTTAATTCTGCCCTTCCAGTCATCAAAACGTGCAACTCTCCCTTACTTATTGTGTCCTCTGCAGCTAACCCTCGGCTCTTTCCTGGGACTTCTGGGGCTCCTCCTGGACGAAAACCGAAAGCATCTGGTACTGTGATTTAAAAAAAGGCAACTTTACCTTAATTGCTGCATCAGTGTTGTTATATAAATCTCACCACTGTTTTTGGACAGTTGTGTTTTTGGATTATTATTATTATTATTATTATTATTATATTTTATTGCTCCTGTATTTGGTATGCTGTTTTCATTTGGTTTAAGTAGTTGAAGGAACATGAAATATGATACCAGATTAAATGCAAAATAATGTTTTATGTTAAAATTCCTATCTGTTATTGTAATATTATTCATGACAACAGGCTGTCAGGTTGGGGTTCAGAATTTGATCAATGAAGTGCAAGGAAACAAAAAGAAGGGAAACATAGACTATGCTTGGATAATAACAATGGAAAGACAGGCTACACACCAAGATTTAAGGTAAAAAGTAAAAGGTCCTTTAATAAAAGAATGGACCAGCCATTAAATGAGTTGCCTACCGGCTCGGTGACTAACGCACCTTCAACAGGGCAAATATCATATGGCTCAATGGCACAATGTGTTTTTAAGTACTGATTTGTTTGTATTGAGCCATATGATATTTGTCCTGTTGAAGGTGCGTTAGTCACCGAGCCGGTAGGCAACTCATTTAATGGCTGGTCCATTCTTTTATTAAAGGACCTTTTACTTTTTACCTTAAATCTTGGTGTGTAGCCTGTCTTTCCATTGTTTTTATCCTGCTTTTGCTGTCGACGGAGCACCACCTGCACATCACCGTTCATTGTGAGCACCTGTGCACCTGCCAATCTGGTCTGTATCTATGCTTGGATAATATAAAGAAAATCAAAACCTGAAACTAATTGTCTTTATACCTATAAGTGTTTGTTTGACTTATTTCATACCAGTCCACCCCCCAACTCCCCAAATCTGAACCCTGATTTTGGTCCAAGCCGCTCACATTTATAGTTGTTCTCCCCCACATCCACAAGCTGACAGCTGCCATTGTTTTCCTGAGCATCGGGATCATCACCTCCTTTCTGTGCCTGGTAATTGATGGCGTCTGCATCGCTCTGAACATGGTGGGTTACTTTCCCTTGCATGTGAAAGCTTTAACACCACAGATGGCTGGGTTTGTTCATGAAACGATGCAGCAGCAATAAATGGATCACGGTTTTACAGTTTTACTGGGATCCAGCTGCAGACTGTGTCAACTCTACTCTGCTGGCAGTGATGACAATAAAACTAGAAATTCTTTAAAAAAAAGACAGCTTAGTATAATTGTTGCCAACTTTGGTTTTACAACTCATTTGTTAAAGTGTTGTTTAGTCTGACTGTCCAGTATTACCAATTAACTTGACATGCATGTTTTTTTTGGTCCGTGAGATGTACCCGGATAGAACATGCAACATCCACTCAGAAACGTCTTGGTCTGTATTTGATACAGTAACCTTCCTTCTCTATTAACTGTGTCACTGTACCAGTTTACAGTGACTTGGCACAGTTCTGTTAAACATTAAACAATTCTACTGACTTGAAATGAAGCAGTTTACAATATGTGAACAAATCCCTCAAAGCAACTTGCATTAAATGTGTTACAAATGTTCCCATTTTTTTGAGGGAAAGTACCCCTGTGTGGCTGAAGGTGTGGGGATGTTGTTCTTTATGTGTAAAGACCAGCTAACCAGGCGACCTGACAACTAGATGACCAGTTGACCAGTCAACCATTTGACCAAGTGACCAGTTGACCATTTGACCCAGTAACCTGTTGACCTGGCAGCCATTTGACCAGGTGACCATTTGACCAATTGGCCTGTTAACTACTGATCTGGTAACCAGTTGACCAGGTAACCATTTGACCAGTTGATCCAGTATTTATTTGGCCAGGTAACCAGTTGACATGGTAGCCATTTGATCAGGTGATGATTTGACCAATTGGCCTGAACAGAAAACATTGATCTGGTAACTTGCTCATTGTCGTGGAGTTGGAGTTGACGACGCCATCATACACCTGCTTCAACAAACCCACTGTCATCTGGACAAAGCAGGCAGCACTGTCAGGATCATGTTCTTTGATTTCTCCAGTGCTTTTAACACAATTCAGCCTGATTTACTTTATCTGAAACTCCAGAAGACTCAGGTGGAGGCCTCAACGATCACCTGGATCAAAGGTGATTGAGGTGGTTGAGGA